GGGGCCAGATTGCTAACAATATCATTATGATTTTATTATTGTCCTGGTTCTGGAGATCCATAACTCGGTTTTCTATTAGCACATTACTCAAGTCAGACAGTGGGAAAGCAATCACTTCTGCTGTGGGGCAGCACAAGCCACCTGGCTTTTGGAATTGCTTGTTCAGATGCACTAGAAAATTAAGTTCAGTGACCAGCATGAAAGGTGGTTTTTCCTCCTTGTGCATCTGTAGACTGTGTGTGAAATTACAGTCTCCCTGGAAAGGGAGATGCATGAGACTCATTAACATTTGGAGGATAAATACACACACACCAAGAGGTAAATATGCCTATTAGAGTAAGAAGCATGTATCAATTTCATTGGCAGTCTCACACAGGCAACGACTACCGTTGCTAGGCTGGAAAGATCTTAGTGGGACCCGAAATTGATAGGTCTTAATTTAGGGAAATATTAGAAGAAGAAAAAATGAAAAAATAATTATCATGATTTTGAAGAGATGAAGAAAACATGGTGTGCAAATCTGAGCAAAATGCCAATGGCTCTTCTGTTCATGGAATTCCAAGGAAGAGATTCCAGGAAGAGAAGGAATGCGAGAAAACTTAACTTCAACCTTGCTGGCTGTGCCATTATCAATTTAAACCTAAATTTAGGATAATTTATACCTTGTTGTATTAGTTTACTAGCACTGTCTGTTAAGTACCGCAGACCGGGAGGCTTAAAGCACAGAAATTGATTGTCTCACTGTCCTGGAGGCTAGAAGTCTGAGATCAAGGTGTCCACAGGATTGGTTCCTTCCGAGGGCTCTCTTCTTGGCTGGTTGCTGGTCACCTCCTCCCTGTGTCTTTACAAGTTCTTTTCTCTGTGCTTCTGTGTCCTAATCTCTTCTTATAAGGGCAGAAGTCATTGGGTTAGAGCCCACCTTGGTGACCTCATTAACTTAATGACCTCTTTAGATACCCCATCTCCAAACACTGTCACATTCTAAGGTACTGGGATCCTAGTAACAAACATGTGATCATATTTTTTCTTTCTTTTTTGCCAGAAGAAGGTGTCAAAATTCAACTCCACCCATTCATGCAAAATGTAAATGGTAGGTCTTAGCCTGTTTTCCAGAAGAGAAAATGGAAGTTCTCAAAGGTCAGAAAGCTATCGTAGTGAAACAGATGAAAAAAGAGAGAGAGATTGCATCAGGAAAATCCGTATGCTCCTCTCCAAGGTGCCTTTTGAGTCAATGATTAAAATTTAGGGAGGACAGACCTAGAAATGTGAAGGAAAATAAGACATAAATCCATCATGCTGTTCTTCTAATTTCTAAGTTTTCATATTAATACTGAAATGCTGGGAAAGTACCAATGAGACTAAAAACATTCATTTCCTTCCTCAAGAAATTACATAAGCAACTGAACTTAGAAATAAGTGGACATATATTTGAATAAAGATTTTGGATAATTTATATATCAGTGAGTATCTTCCTTATGTACAATTTAATATGAAACATTAGGATATTTAAAGAGTGGTATAAGAATAAATATATCTTGTTTGGAATGTACACTTAAATAATTACATTTTCAGTTTTATAAGAATGAAGTCTGCTGAATTCAACTCCAATTTTTATGGAATCTTAAGACAGTATCTTATTTTCTTATGGGATCCAGCTACTGTAAATTGGAGGGAATTAAATTTTATATTTATTTACCTTGACATTCTATATAGAGTTTCTTCAAAGTAAGTATATCAATATTGCTTTGTCTAAATCACAATATAGCATGATCAGAATTGTATCAGGAGTCTGTTTAGTAGCTTCATGACAAGTCATCATTTCTAAATCATTCATAGTGGCAGAAAGAAGAAATAGGATGATGACTGAGCTAGAATTGAGAAATTCTGCATTGTAGTCCCTCCTCAGCTGTCATTGTGTCTAGTGATAAAGGACAAGTTAACAAAACCTATCCAGAATTTAGTTTACTAATCTGTGAAAAGGAGAATATCAATCCTGACATGTGAGTTTCAGGTTAGATAACATGCATGTTAACTCCAAGAATGTGTGAATGTAAAAGTTCACTGTTGTTATTATCATCCTTGAGGAGGAGAATGGCCCACTGTGTTGTCTTCTAAGCACTTGATAAACCCTGGGAATTCAATACGAAATAGGCACAGTCCAGTCCTCAGGCACCAGGAGGTTGAAAACAGGGTGAAGGAGAAGGACAGGGTGAAGGAGAAGGACAGGGTGATTTGTGATCACAAATTCCCAATGATGCGTGTTACAATGTATACCTACATGGTATGCTCTCGGAACAAAAGGAAGGGACGCAAAACCCTGCTGGGGTGAGCAGTGAATGCAGACAGAGGCAGCAAAAGTTTCCTCAAGATGATACTAGAACTGAATTGATGAGTATGAGCAGGAGGTGGCCAAGTCCACAGAACGCTTTTTTATACATGATCCATTCTATGAGCCACTACATTATAACCCATTCAACTCTACACACAGAAGCTAATGGGAGTTTCAGTTGTGCTTGGATCTAATTGGTGATTTTTAAGAATAAATAAAAACTTAACTTCTACATGGACTTTTATGGATCTTCTGGAAGTTTTAGTTTTTTGTAGGTTAGTATTTATACCTCTGCTGTGGTATGTGTGGCAGGGTGTTCTTCTCAAAGATTGTCACAATACTTCCCATCTGGAATGCTCTTTCTGTGATGTGCCTTTGCCATTCCTTTGATCCAAGGATGGAGTCTTTGCTCCTTCCATTAAATCAGGGTGAGCTTACCAGCATCGATAGACAGAGGATGCCAGAAATGATGATGTGTAAGTGACTTCTGAGGCTGGACCATGAAAGGTGATGCAGCTTTGCTTTGTGCATTGGAATAACTGTGTGTGGAGAGGAAGCAGACCACCCTTCCTGGAGGCATCACACTATTAGGAGCCCAGGCCATACTGAAGGAAAGTGTAGGTGCTCTGGGCAGCAGTGTTGGTCTTTGATCTTCTGGGGCCAAGCACCAGACATGTTAATGAACAAACCTTCAACCTCACATCACCCACTCCAGCCATTTCAGTCTTTCTTCTGTGATCCTCAACATCATTTACGTTAGTGTCTACAAACCACCCTCCTGTGTGCTATCTGAATTTCTGACCCCCAAATCCACATAGTTAAATGGTTGCTGTAAGCTGCTAAGTTTTGGGTCAACTTATGAAGCAAAGAATTGAAATAGGATTTGGTACTAAAACTGGGATGTGCTGCCATAATAGAAACCTAAAACCCATGGCTTTGACTCTGGATCAGAGAGTGAGCAGAATCTGGAAATGCCTTGAGAAGAATGTTGGAGAAAGCTGGGATTCATTGGGGGAATTATTACAGGAGGCTGGAAACAAGGTAATTCTTCTGTGTAGTAAAAAAGTTTGGTAACACCTTCTCCTGTGGTGATGTGGGAATAGAAACATTCCTTAATTATCTAGCGGGTTTGATTAGATAATGTTCAGGAAGAATGCGGGAAGAGCCAGCTAATTTATTCAATCTGTTTGATCTGTGTTGGCTGACATTTAGATAAAGAGAAATGAGATAACAAGAAACTGCTCAATTTTCAAGCAAAATGTATAGGAATTATAAAGAAACCAGAATTTGTTGGGTTCCAAAGAAATAAAAACACAAGGCAAAGCAAAACATCAA